TAATGATGATGATGATGATGATGATGATGATGATGATAATTATAATAATGATAATAATGATAATGATAATAATCATAACAATAATAACAAAAACAATAATATAGTAATAATGACAACTATACATGTAATTATCAAAAACAAAAATTGGCTACCAGAGCACACATTTACATGCAACGTTCTTTTAACTCACCAATAATCCTGTCAATCAAATCACAATAAACATACAATAGACCTACTAGTACTAAAAACAAGGAATGGTTTAAAAACAAAGAAGAAAAAAAAACACCTTTGCTCTCAACGTAGAAAGAAACTGTGAAGGCGCCAGACTCGTCGTGAAAGGTGAGAAAGAGGAGGAGGAGGCATGATTGTTCTTGGTGACTTGTCGCCACACGGTGATTAGAGCAGCTTGGCGAGAAGAGAGGGTCAACCTCCTGCTGCTCATTGTGCAACAGGTGAAATGTAGAACTCTTTTGATTGTTTTAGTAGAGGTTTTACGGCGCTCGCAACTGCATAAGTTCATATGAGCGCCAAGGGGTGGATGTCTACAGAGAAGTCCCTACAGGGAATCAGGCGTACTCTACTCACCGCTCTAACTTCAACAGCACAAAGTCTGCTTCGACTATCAAGGCGCCCCGGAAATAGCGGATCACAAGAGTGTGACAAACATACAAAAGAAGTAGAGGAAAAATGACGACAGTAAGGATTAGGAAAGAAAAAAGCATCAGTTCCCTGTTGCAGTTCAGACACAGTTATGAGCATGACATTGATGAATCAACCCATTTACAATAACAATTCTACTGTGCATAAGAACATGGTTAATGTCCCCCCTTTGGGAAAGGCCTAAAGACACTTCAGTCAGTAGCACCCACCGCCCCGGGGGTGGTTGAACTCTTTCACGACGTGGCGGACACATAACACATTATTCTAATATTAAGTCCGATCAGCACGGAGCAGAGGCAATGTTTCCGCGCGGCACATTTCGAATCATCATGCACAAATGGTCGCTTTTAAGAACAAACGGGCTAACCCAGATTTCGGGGGTGTCCAGAAATCTTGACCTACATCAAAAGTGGGTATTGCCCTACCTGTAGGAGAAGTTTAGTTTCATTGGTGTGTATATTTGTTTGGTTATAGAGAAAACTCTCCTTGTCTTTTAAGAAACTGAACAAGCGGCTAACATTTTACCTTCGATTTTCCCAAAACAGCTTTTTCTTGTGCTTAAAAGCGACCAAATCAGAAACGCCCAAGTTTGCGTATTTAATAGTATGCAATGAAGCATGCCTTCAAAAATCTAAAAATCGATTTAGATAAAGAAGTTGTGCTCCAACACATAGCATCTTCAAGCATTGTCGAAAGGCCAGAGAGCGCGCCCTCGACGAAGCAACGCCCCTATCAACACTATTAGATTATGTAAGGGGCGGGACCTCCGAGTTGAACGCCCATCTCCGAAAAGGACCGAGCAAAAACAATACAACAGGAGAATCGTTGAAAGCACCTTTCCAAAGGACATTACGTTAGACCGAGCTAAGTAAATGTGTACTTCCGTGGACACTTAACAGCTCTGAAGTCATCAAACTTTGGAGGCCATTAGCTCGTTAATTCTACTCTAGACACAAGGCAACCCCACCTACTTCAATCCGAAATATCTCGACTTCCTATTAAAAATAGATGGGTATTTCTTTTTTTAATCAAAAGCAAGACAAATGAACACGCTTTAAGATGATAACAACAACCCCACAAGCCCCCAAAATTGACGAGCGCTCAGTTCCACCGCGTTGCGATGACACATTATATCCTCAGTGAGCAAACAAGAAAGAAGGCGTCTTCACTGTCACAAACTGCGGCACATCATTGTTTTAACAAACTATGGCATATTTTCGCACTATCCAAATGCCAACATATCCGAGTGAACTCAGGATAACAGGTTTCTCTTTGCTTTTTTAACACACTCCACAGATCATAAATCCAGTAGGTGCTCTGGCGTGGTTTGCTTCTTCTTTCTTGTCATGTCAAACATCTATCGTCTTTATCTCCCCTCCTACTTTTTTGTGTTTGCTACTCTCTTGTAACACATCTAATCTTCAGAACTTATGTGACCATATTCGTTGCAAGTGCTATAAAAACTCTTACTAAAACTAAAACTAAAACTTAACTAAATCCAGTAGGAAGAAGTTTGGTAATATAGGTAGTTTTGATTCTGTTTTCTTCGCACGAACAATTTCACCGTGCTAAAACACCGAGGCCCACCAACCACACACACGAACGATACAATTGTCTCCAAAGCAAAGTCATAAACTGTACTTGGGTCGAAATCAGCGTTCCGGTCATAGCATTAAAACAAGAGAGGAGAGAAATAAAGGGAGGGAGAGAGAGAGAGAGAGAGAGAGAGAGAGAGAGAGAGAGAGAGAGAGAGAGAGAGAGAGAGACGGGGGGAGGAGAGAGGGGGGGGGGGAGAGAGGGGGAAGGGGGGGGGAAGGGAGAGAAGACTGAGAGAGAAGGGAGAGGGGGAGAGAGAAAGAGAGAGAGAGAGAAAGAGAGAGAGAGAAAGAAAGAAAGGGGACAGAGAGAGAGGGGGGGGGAGAGAAAGAAAGAGAAAGAAGAGAGAGAGAGAGAGAGAGAGAGAGAGAGAGAGAGAGAGAGAGAGAGAGAGAGAAAGAGAGAGAGAGACAGAGACAGAGAGAGAGAGAGAGAGAGAGAGAGAGAGAGAGAGAGAGAGAGAGAGAGAGAGAGAGAGAGAGAGAGAATAATAGTCCTCAAGTAAAGGCAAGCCTACAGTATTAATACTGTTATTCAAACACGTCGCTTGTCTTGACACAATGTCTTAAGGCACGAGAGGGGCGTCCTATTTATGTGGAGAGGACGCCTAATTGTACCCATGAGTGTTTATCTCTCTACAGTTTACGACCTCATGAACTTCAAGCCTCGCGGCGGACCAGCCACGACAAAGGGTGCAGCCACCTTTCTATTGAACATAGTACTGCATGAAACAGGCCCACAGAACAGAAACTTGGGAAGGTACGGGATATAATAATATCAGAAGAGACAGCACCAATCACGGACGAGCCATTGATTGAAGGTAAGACAACATCTTCTTGATTCATTATCTAGGTCACCAGTCACCGCCGTTGTCAACTGACAAGGAAAAGTAATTCTAGCATCGACAGACTAATAACAGTTCTCGTCCCTTCCACTCCTTCCCGTTTATGTGGATTTTGCATGCTTAATGTCCTTTCCACAAGGATAAGCAGTAATTAATGAGAAACGGCATCTACTATTTAAAATACGAATGCCAGTACAAAAGGCGCAAACCTAGATTTTAAAACCCAATTCTAAAAATAAATTAAAAGTATGTTTTCGTGAACTACGTCAGGAAGACCCAAATGTAGATTCACTGAGAGTAAAGACCCCGGAATAACGTAGTTAGACATGTAAGTTCTGAACGAGGGCTTAAAATTACTTTTACCCAATATAGCGTTATCTTTATCAACTCATTTTAAAGAACAGCCTTACAGCTTACGACGGAATATTGTAACCTTTCTCTTCATTCGCATTGAAGAAAAATAAATTGACAAGCCCATTCAATGGACAGAAAGGTATTGAATAAAATGGCCCTGATCGCAAGTCACACTTTGAAATCCTGCAAAGTCAGTAGCAGTTCATAACCAAACTTACACATTTTGAACCTTCATGTTGGTGTTCGTGGAAATACTGACATATTTAATGTAAAGCGCGTGCACGATAGTTTAATGATAAGGCTGAATAACATCATATTTAATATTACCACAGCTGACAAGTGGGCGATTAAATAATACAATAGAAATAGCCATTGGAGACAGGCGAAAAACGACTCCACAATGGTTCGTTGGAATATATCACTTAAAATGTGAAGACATTTAGTATATATATATATATATATATATATATATATATATATAGAGAGAGAGAGAGAGAGAGAGAGAGAGATAGATAGATAGATAGATAGATAGATAGATAGATAGATAGATAGATAGATAGATAGATAGATAGATAGATAGATAGATAGATAGATAGATAGATAGATAGATAGATAGATATTTTATTTATATATATATATATACAATGTATATCATATTTATGTATAACTTAAAAAGTGAAGAAATTAAACTATGTTCTCGCATGGCGTCTGGTACCGCTGGGATTCAGAGGGAAGTAACCCCTGTCTTAAATCACGACAACCAAAATCCAAACGAAAAGTGGATAAAAATGGAATATCAGTTGTTGGCATTTTCGAGAAAAACAAAAACTGAATGCTCGACAACGCACGTTTTCCTATTGCAAAACTTTTACTTCAAACCAGATATTGGGTGATCCACCAGATTTTAGCGTGGGACACAACGGTGGGGCAGAAGATACGTGTAAAAGCTTTCCAACCCACAACAGAACTAATGAGACAAAAACTGACATCCCAAGTTCTTCCCTAGAATCCTCCAAACACACTTGTAGTTGTCGCTTTAATTTCCTTTTCTATATTTTCTCTCTTTTTTTAGGGGAGGGGGGCTGAAAGCCTTACATCAGGCGGCATAGGGAAACGCGCCCATAAGTCGCAGGACGTACGTATTAAACGATTCCAATATATATCGCAGTCTAAAACAACAAGAGCAAATTGGGAGAAATCGGGTTGAAATACCCAAGCTGCCATAAAGTGGGGCATTTCACGAATTATTAATACTGCATTTGTTTCTTCCAGCTGGGCCGAAAACTATTGATTTTAATTCTGAAGGCGCGTAGTCGTTTTATCAATTAGCAACTCACCGCCAGCAACATTTATTATTAATTACTGGGTCGACTCGCACGCCAGATTGACACTTCTCGCGGGTCCTACCTAGCTTTGTCCGCGGGCCGTATTTTGCCCATGCCTTCCTTATACAGAAACGGCAGAACACATTCGGAGACGCCTCCGGGGAGCACTCAAGGACTATTGGGAGACGCACTCCCGCCCGCACGCAGATGCACTGCTTTGGGGCGGGGTCATACTGCTTATTATTTGCTGCAGATCACACATTTAGCCACTAAAACTGTCGCAAATCAATTATTTTCAAGAAAATGTCAAACGTAACGGTACAAAGTCAAATTACGGGTTAACACTGGGAGGCATGCCCCCCCCCCCCCCCCCTGTAACCCCCAGATTTTTTAACTAGGTCTCGAGGCACAAAATAGTTTTATTGGTCTATCTCCGTCCGAGACGCCCCCGCATAGATACTGCGCACAGAAACACAATAGCCCCCATGCTTTCCTAACCAAATTGGAAAAAAATATAATAAAATTCACAGATAGGAGAAAGTGGCTAAAACAGCACCTAGAATATAGACATGGAAGGCTGGTGCCTCTATAGATATTATTAATAGTCAGGTCAGGCCATACCTTCCTTACACAGACACAAAATGGACCACCAACAAAACGATTATTATCAATTCCACCTGATAGAGTGCACATTTCTACCTTAGTTTGGTATCGATATATTAATACACATGGCGGGGGACATGTTTTGAATACATGTATATTCAAAACGATTGGCTGCTGAAAGACAAAAAAATGTGTTCATTTGTTTGTTCGCTTGTGGGTTGTTGGTTCGTTGAGGTTTTTTTGGAGTTTTTTTTTTGGGGGGGGGGGGCGGGGGGTTGTTTTTGTTTGTTTAGTTGGGGGTTTTGTTTCTTTTATGGGGAGAGGGGGTGGGGTGGTTGGCTCTCTTGAACATTTTACGAAACTGGATGTGCTGTCTTTTAAAATACCTGTAAAACTTTAGAATGAGCAGAGTGGAATTCCACGAAGGACAAGAGAAACGCCACATTCTCCGGTTCAAACGATCCATTGTTAGACAAATTCGCGTCCAAGTAGCCTACGTGACAAAGACTCGGCCAAAGTTACGATTTTAAAGTAAGATTCCCTGAGGCCACACAAAGCTTAAAAGCTTTGTTAGTATGGGTAACGAGAAGCACATCGACACAATAGTCGTCACTTTGTGGGGCGGAAAAATCAATACAGATAGACAGTGATTAGTAAAGGGAAAGAAGAGAAGTAGGACCTACCAATGGCACCCTCCAATCACCCGCTACAAAAAAGCGCACTGGCGTCTAGATCTAGTTAGTTTTATTAAGTGTTTTACGGCACTCGCAACTGCAGAATGAGATCATATGAGCGCCCCAAGATTAGAGGTGTTACAAGAGAGTAACAAATGCAAAATAGAAGGAGGGGAGATAGAGACGATAGATTTTTCATAGGAAAGAAGGAGCAAACCACACCAGAGCAGCCGCCAACCACCCACGTACCGGCGTCTGTAGCACAACAAAACAATGGGCGGATGATAACAACACATAAAGGTCATATAAGTGCCAAAGATTAGAGGAGTTATACAAAAGTTTTTAAAAACACGAAAAAAGGAGAAAAGATCAGGAAAATAGTTCAGTTGTATGATAGGAAAAAAGGAGCAATCACACCAGAGCACCAGCCAACCACCTGCGATGATAATCGTGTGGCTGTAACATTCCCCGGAGCCGAATATCAATGAACAGAAACAGTTTTAAAGACCAACCAACACTGTAAGAAGTAAAGCAAGAGGGCGGGTTGTTGGCGAGTGCTCTGATGTCGTTTGCTTCTTCATTCCTATCAAACTTCTATCGTCCTTATCTCCCTCCTTTTTTGTGTTTGTTACTCTCTTGAAACACCTCTAATCTTCGGCACTTCTATGACCTTATTGTGTTGCAAGTGCCGTAAAACTCTTACTAAAACAAAAAACAAAGCAAGAGGAATGTGCAAGAGTGTGAAGGGGTGGGGCGCTCCATGACCTCGGAGAACAATAAATGTGAGTGCTTAACCCTATCCATACGCCCTGGGGTCATTTTGTTTCCCCGGGGTTGTATTCTTCACATTTTAGAATACTTCTAGTGTGAAGATCTCTTTGAAACTTTCAGTATTTCTCAAAAATAATTTTGATAGACTGCAAAGCAAACCGTACGGATCGGATAAACGAGTAAATTTCCTCGTTGGAAAGTGGTGGCACAGAGTTCCCCACGTCGTATGGATACGATAATAAAAAACGACGTTCGGACAGGCTTACATATATTTCTTAAAGCTCATTTACTGTCGCAGTTCTACAGTGACTGTCGTTCAACAGGGAAAGAAAAAAAAATATAACAAACAAAAAGAAATTATCAGTTTTACTAGCAACTGACTTTCTACTTACTGTTACCGTAAATAACCTTTCAATGATTTAGCAAAAAAAACAACAACAACAAAAAAGCAAACAAACCAAAAATAAATAAATAAATAAACAAATAAATTTTTTCAAAAGGAATACATAACAAAACAAAACAACCCACCCATCTCCCAACAACAAGAGCAACAAAAAAAAAAAAAACCCAACAAAACAACAAGAAACAAAAAACAACGTCATCGTAACAAGTTAGAATAACAAGGTTCTCCGTGCCTTGCTTCATTGTTTCCAAGTTAACTGATGACGTAACACAAACTTTCATGATGTGGGTTGTTTTTTTTCTCTCTCTACGCAAATAAAGTGTTGGTTTAAATCCTGTGTGGCTTACTAAAACGACATAATATAATCCAGGAACAAATATAATGAGCACATAAACGTTAAACAGAGGAGAAATTGAGAGAGAGAGAGAGAGAGAGAGAGAGAGAGAGAGAGAGAGAGAGAGAGAGAGAGAGAGAGGGAAAGAGAGAGAGAGAGAGAGAGAGAGAAAGAGAGAGAGAGAAAGACAGACAGACAGACAGACAGACAGACAGACAGACAGACAGACAGACAGACAGACAGACAGACAGACAGACAGACAGACAGACAGACAGACAGACAGACACACACACAGGCACACACGCACGTACACAGAGGGAGAAAGAGAGAGAGAGAGAGAGAGAGAGAGAGAGGGGGGGGGAGAAAGAGAGTGAAAGGGAGAGAGAGAGAGAGAGAGAGAGAGAGAGAGAGAGAGAGAGAGAGAGAGAGAGAGAGAGAGAGAGAGAGAGAGGGAGAGAGAGAGAGAGATAGGGAGATTATTTTTTTTAGCTTAGTAGGAGTTTTACGGCACTTGCAACACAATAAGGTCATATAAGTGCCTAGACTAGAGGTCTTACAAGAGAGTAACAAACACAAAAAGGAGGAGAAATAAAGACAACACATGTTTGATAGGAAAGAAGAAGCAAAGCAAACCACACCAGAGCAACCGCCAACCACCCACGGAGAGAGAGAGAGAGAGAGAGAGAGAGAGAGAGAGAGAGAGAGAGAGAGAGAGAGAGAGAGAGAGGGGGGGGGAGAGGGAGGTGAGGGGAGGGGGAGAGGGAGAAGAGAGGGGGGAGAAATTTGTCAAAGCAATAAAGAGAAATACACGTAGCCTACTTGGTAGTATGACCGTAAAAAAACAAATACGGAGAAAATGAACGACGTATTAATGCATGCTCTACCTCACAAGTCACGCATAACAATAGGGGGGTGTAAGGGAAAAACAGACGGCCGCACACCAGTATACATACGCACAATCGACCGTATGTTAGCGCTGAACAACGAGCCTGCATAAAGATCAAAGACAGGGCAAAACTTTCCAAGTATTGATTTCGTGCTCAGCATTCACGATGGTTACGAATGAACCCTAACCCTACCCACCCACCCCCCGAATCATTCACCTCCACGCCCACCCCATTCCCAAACCCAACCCTCTCCATCAATCGACCAGACCAGGAACGAGTACCCGAGGAAGTAATCCCAGACCCTGAGCTCGATAAGACCGCTGGGCGCGTTTGGCCCTCTCGGCTGGGCGCTACGTCATGCAAGTAATGGCAGCGAGATAGTGTCACGTAGACTATAGGTGAGGCAGCGTGGTGGAATCAGGCTCTCGTCAATTTTTTGACATGTAGAGTTATTGATGTCATCTTAAAGCTTGTTCACTTGTCTTTATTTCCATGAAACAAATATCCATTTATCTTGAATACAAGTCGAGATATTTGTGAATGAAGGAGGTGGGGGTCACCTGTTTTCAGAGGTAAAATTAGTGAGAAAATGGTCGCCAAAGATTAGTTATTTCCTTAGCTTAAGAGTCCGCGGTTACTGAAAATTTACATTTTTTATGCCTTTCATCGTTTTTCAGAAAAATCCACACAGAAATTAGTTCTTTAAAGGGCATGAAAGGCGCTGAGCCAAAAAAAAAATTGATAAAAATTCACAAACCTGCGGAAAAATGCAAGTTTCTTCACTTTGATTATTTTGACGAAAGACTGATTCCACCATGCTGCCTCACGTCATAGGGTGTAATGTGTGCGGTGCAAGGGGAGTCAGTGTTACACTGTACGACACTGACGTTCGTGCTAGTGCCATAGACTTTAATTGAAGGCGCTCTGAGAGACAAGAGTGGTTGTTTGGTGTGTTATTGCACTACAGGTATAACATAATATAGACCGAGCACTATCATGGCCGCCGCTCTTTCCTGTCTAGAATAAAAACTTCGCTTCCCTTCTTTTTTAAAAGAAAGTTTTACGGCAATTGCAACACAATATAAAATAAGGTCATATAAGTGCCAAAGATTAGAGGTGTTACAAGAGAGTGACAAACACAAAAAGAAAGAGGGGGTGGACAGCAGTCAATGTATATTATACGTATAGTGTTAAGTTATCCGGTTAGATTGACTTTCTTTTCCCCAACTGAAGTTTCATCTTCAGTTCTTTCTGTTCCTTTCTTCTCCTCCTTTTTCTTTTTCTTCCTGTCCCCCCGCCCCCTCCCTTTACACTCTCGTCATCTTCTTCTTCTACAAATTTAATCAACATTGTTGTCTTCCTTTGACCCTTCTCGCACCCCCTTAATTACAATCAAACAAACAAGCGAAAGACAAACAAAGTAAAAAAAATGGTCCTTTCTTCATTCGGAACTTTTCATAACGCTTAAAGCATATTGACTATTTTGGACACCTGTGTTGCTGGAGAAAAAAAAGACTAAAACCCCTAAAAGAACAGAAAGGGGACACATGGACAAGGAAAGACAAAGACTATATATTGTAATATCTGATTGATCGCAAATGTGCACGCCATCATCGATACAATTTAGACCAACCAAGAGACCGGCTGCTTCGACACTGTTAGTCAGAGCCAACCAAGGCGGAAACTGATAGGGAAGAAGCATTCTATCGGTCAAGAACACCCGCTAAATAAAATAGACCTCTCCAAGTATGAGTCAAACTCACACATTTTAAATATGTGCAAAACAACGAAGAGACTAACCATTACACCACAGACGCCAGCGTCCAAAAGACATGCCAGCAGACACGCACAAGAGAATACATGATGTAGATTGATGGCTTTTTACATTGCAAAGCAAGGTCTTGGAACAGCCAAGAAAACCGCAAAGAGGAGCTAACTACGGACAGAGGGCACATTCATAATGCTTTGTGCGGCCCGCGGAACCCTTCGTCGAAATTTAAAACCGAAAAAAATGAGTATTGGTACAATTGGTCGCATTTGTCAATATACGACAAAGCCAAGACTAGCCTCGTAGTGCAAATTAAAGAAAAGTTTAGTATGTTCAAACCATTTAATTTAAAAATTCAGTAATTTCTTTATAATTATTAATGCAGGTTGCAATTTGCATTTTCTTCATAAAGTTACTGAAGTTTACTTCGCGCGCTGGGTCCAATTTTAAAAGGTATGGTCATTTTCTAAGTTTTTGGCCAGGTAGAAGAGGCTATCGCCCGAAAAGTTTGCACCCCCCCCCCCACCACCCCTCACTATAAGCAGTACATGGTACAAGCAAAGAGTCTCTACAAGTAGAAAATCTTTGGTATATTAAGCACAGGTGATTTACGGGGCCAGAGGAGGTGAGGTTTAGTACCTCTTATCGGTAGGGCTAGGCGAGATTTATTACTTGCCCATTGTGTTAGGTGACAATCACATCTGAGGGGAAACCGACTGAAGTGAGAAGAGCACGTACGAGGAACGCTACTCGTTTGATTAACAGTGAGGAAGGGTAATTACCCTAAACAGACGCAGTGTAGTAATGCGTGTACTGAGATTGTTACCAGCTCCGACAGCCAATAGAACCATGCACAGCAAATCGAATTTCCCAAGCGTTCAGAAAAAGCCACGGCAAAAGTAAACTTGAGCCTTCCATATTTGGAATTTGCGTGACCATTCAGAGGTTCCACACTCATCTACCTCAGAATTACAAAGTTCTACCTGCTCAGTACTAAGTTTTGATAAATTTGGCGTCAAAGATATTGAGTTTCACATCATGGCAAACTATTTCGAATGCAATGCTTTGAATAAATTGATAACGACTGCAATTGTCCCATCCGCAAAGGACACCCCGTAGTACACCAATCATCAACATAGAACTAGAATCTGCAAAAATGGTTGACAGACAACACCCCATCCACACAAGCAAGCAACATAGAACTGGGATCTGCAACAAATGGTCCGTAGACTACATGTTGTTCACGTAAGGCTTTTGAGTGACTTTCAATCGATTACAAGCAAAATAACAGGGCGTCTACTAAACACATAGACGTGTAACATTCCAACATCGTAATATTTCGATATCTCAAGTCGAAAATGGAAAAAGTGTGAATCATAAGAAAATTATTGAAAACAAATAATATATATTCGAGAAGTGACTTATAGTATAGTGATAAACGGTGACGGCCATAGTTGTTCAAGAATGCAGTACCTGTCAAAACCAATGCTCGAGTGACTTCTGTGACACACGGATTCCCAGTGGCGTGACAAAATCGAAGCAGGCATGCATCGCGTGAGATAAAGGGTGTCCCACGAAGACGACATACCCAGCTCTTGAGGTGCGTGTTCCCGAAGATGTCCGTCATCGTCTCCTTGTCCACCATGGGAACTGTGACGGCAAAGTCATGCTTACAGTGGCAGGGACGCCTGTAGGCTGCGGGTTCCACACTCTCAGGCCCATCCGTTTTCTTCCTCCGTCGTCTCCGTCGGCTTTTGCTGCTTCCTTCCCTCGAACTTCCCCGAGACTTGGACCGCGATTTGCCTCCGCCATCGCTACTATCTCTGGCAGTATCTCGTGACCTCGCTGATTCAGGGGCAATAGCAGCAGTATTATCGTCTGTCTTCTCACTTTCTGTTGCAATTGCAACAACACTGGTAGGGTCCTTCTGTGACTCGGGCCCCGTGCTATCAGTTACAGGGCTTTTACCGTCCACGCGAACAAGTTGTGAATATAAATCGGGGAAACAGTCGCTTCCACATTGCACGACTTTTGCATTGGTATAATCGATAAACATAAATTTTCGGTTGTCTTTGGAGCCCGGGGATTTCTGTCGGTGTTTCTTCTTTTTCTTTCTCCCGGAAATATCAATTTCGGAAAGAATACGCTCGAAGTTCTTATCTTCCTGAAGAGGGTCGATCTGATTTTCCTTCTTCTGGTCCGTGTCATCTAATTCTAATTGACCAACCAGCGATTCTTGCAGCATGTCTAAATTCCATACAACCTCAGACCTGTCTAAGGTGGCAAAGCCTGATTCCCTAATCGCTGTCGCCATTGTATCACAATGCACAACTAACAGAACTGTTTTCTAACACTTCAATTCAAACACATCTCATGGAGACGGGGTCAGTTTATCTTCAGATGCTGCTGATAACACAATTATATTACAGTCAAAAGTGGAGACCAAGTCATGTACAAAACACACTGGCCTGTGGATAGAACAGCGCGGAACATAACATGATGGCAGATGAAGTTTTAGAACAACGTACAGAAAAATCTAACTTATGAACACATTCGCCCCATGCACTGACTCTGATAATTGTATAATAATAAACAAAGACTGACTGATGGGCCTCAGTTGTAACAGCGAAGTGGGTACCGCACAGTAACAAGATAATACAAGTACATGTATGTAAATTTATTTTATAGATTGTAAAACGAATAGAACTTGCTGTTGAGCGGGAATTTGCGCTACATAAATGTTATTTATTATTCTTTTATTGTCATTATTATTTGTGGGGGG